AGGAGGTGAAGTTGTAAGTGGGCTTGAGTCACGCTGGGAATCATATAGCTGGATGGGAAAAGACCCAATCTCAGGAAAATCAGGCATGTAACATCACGCAAGCCAGACGTGGTTGTACACATAAGTTGTAACACCACCAGGACGACTAGTCCTACTCGTACTCATGAATTGGGATACCAAATATACACAGCTTCAGTGTACCTGTGAAGCCTAGCAGAATACCATCTACCGTGTTGCCCAAACGCCATGAATCATCGCCATCATATCACAGATTTTGTCCTCCAGGGATTCTTCTAGCGATCGCCTAGATCAAAACCTGAAGCCCTTGATCTGTTCCTCACATCGCTTGGCTCCCTTCCATACGCCAGAGGGTCGTCCCGAGGCATTTCCTGACGCTGCCAGTTCCACGGCATCCAGCCACTGCTTGTCCTTCGACCGAGTGCGGGTGGTGTGAGGGGGTACGGTGGTCGGTCGGAGCCCGAGCTCAGTTCGTCGCGTTCGATCCTGTCAAATTCTGCTTCGCTCCTGTTACGGGAGAGGCTACCAGAGAGGCTTCCAGTACTCCTGTTGACTTCATGGTATCTGCTTCCACCTGTTTGCTGTGTGCGGATGTTTTCTTGTTCGCGGTCGAATGCTTGCAGGAGGGTCTCGAGGCGCTGGCGTTGCGACGCAACGTAGTCGAGTCGGTCGTTGTTGTTGCGGATGGAGTCTGGGACGAGGTTCCCGGCGCCGCGGCTCAGATCTGAGGCTTGCGCATCTCGAGTGGCTGCGCTACCGGCACCGTAAAGTGCGCTGGCTCCGCTGAGTGCTTGGTTGACAAGTCCGTATAGATCGTTGCTGCCCCTCGCCGAAGGCATCTGGAACCTGCTCATGAGGTTTTGTGCGTACGTCTGTCCTTCAGGTCTTGGTGACTGCGGCTTTCCAGGTGCGAAGCCCAGAACGTTGACCTTGACCCACTCGATGCCCATCTCGACATATGCCATGCCTGCCGATTTAGCACGATCATGACTTTGTGTAATGAACTCGTCGATCTCCCTCTCATGGTGGTATAGGAAAGGCTCCATGTACTCCTGGTACAGGTAGTTTGCGCCCTGCGAACCAGGCAGGATCAAGTAAAGATGTGCGAAGAAGCGAATCCATGAGTAGAAGGGCACCCAGCTGAGGATGAAGTCGAAAGTGTTCTCTACGGCGGTGAAGGCAGAGAGGACGACGAAGTAGATCAGCCAGGGTGCGAGGAGGGCTGGATCCGAGGTGTGAAGAGCTTTGTAGGAGGCGAAGATAGGGAAGAAGACGGTGGTTGCAACGCTATTGCCATATTAGCTTGGTTTCCTGTGAATCCATAGCAGCAAAAAGAAAATACTGCATATCGCAGTCATGCGAGCTCCAAGAAAGCAAGCAGCGAGCTCACGATACCTCATCAGGCTCCAAAGTTTGTTGGAGAATTGGCAGCTGCAGGCGGGGGCGGGGTAATACTTACGTCAAACCGTCGGCGACAAAGCCGAACATGATTGCAGTCGTTGGGCGTCTTCTTTGGGTGTAGGTGTTTAGGTGAGAGATGCAGGACCAGGACCTACAGGTAGCGAAAGCTCAAGCCTCACGGATACGCGGGCGGAGATGTGGAGTGGCTCAGGCTGATGATCCATCCGATGTACGTCAGTCGTCAGTCGGCGGTCAAGGGCGGCGCGCTATCCACTTTCGGTCCTTTGTGTGTGAGCTCCCGAACGTCAGCTGCTGCAAAGAGAGTCTAATCGCGATGCTAGGAATTGTAATGAGGGACATTAGACTCTCACACTGACTAGCTATACGTGGGTTCCCATTGTTGTTGGCGGTACCTAGGTAGTTGCGGTCGCGACTTCCCCAACGAACTCACGTCGCGAACGCGTGTCGGCCCAATCATGGCAGCTACCACCACCACATCTTCAACATGTCGATTATTCCTTGTCTTCCGTCTCTCCATATTCCCTTCTACTCACTAGCGCTTTGTTTTGCTTCAATACCTTCCACTTCGGTGTCCTCAGCCACGTTCTGGGCCTTGTGCAAAGCAATAGCTACCATTAACCGCGATAGCATCATCACGATCCCGTTCCTTCCACGCGACTGCACGGTGCAGCTACTGTATACTTCTCCTTTTTCGAAAATTAGACAAAGCAGATACCACAGGGTTAGCGAAGACTCAGCTCCTCTACATATCTAATTGCGCTCGGAACCCTGTTGCGCTCATCCACTGTTTGACGCGCCCACCTCCGAGACTTGTACCGCTTTTACAACACTCGCCTTACAAACATCCGAACTGGCAGGCCGGGAAAACTACCAAGACGCTTCCTATGCTGCCATGGCGCCAAGATACCGCTTATCAGAGCCCTGCGCTCGATAACAGCTCCGAACCCCGCGTTTGCGGCCGTTGTCGCGGTTGACATCATCCCGTTCTTCTCCAAACCGCAGGAGACGAAGCTATCGTGAACAATAGAATGCGGCAGGGGTTACGTAAACCAGCTATCTCCTCCCATCATATCAAGCTAGATGCGTTAGTTTGCAACGATGTCCTTGGCTTGTGCTTGTAGTCCGTCGACACTCCAGTAAAACGTCTTCACTGTATCTCTAGGAGATATGGCTTCTTGGCCACACCAGGGTAGAACGTTCCGCAAACCTCGAAGCGAGGAACTCAGATGCCGAACGACGTACGCCAACCTTCAAGTATCCATACCTCGTGTTAGACCCTGTCGTCTCGAGCGTTAATTCAGCGAAGGTCCTGACTAAAGCGGATTGCCTCATCGCGGATTGGAGTTCAACTTCCGAGGTCTCAAGGCTGTGCTGAATTTATAAGAGTGGGGTATGCCCTTAGTTCTCAAATAGCAAAAACGTACTCGAAGTGCCAACAGTCATACTAAACGCCAAGATGGTCGTCATCAAAACTCTGGCAGCTCTGGCATCCCTGGGGTTGACCATAGCAGCACCGCAAGCTTCAGTGTCACCATCGGCTGTGAGCTCTCCCAGTCCATCCGCATCAAGTTCAGCGACTCTTACTACTGAGGAGACGGAAGATCTGTACAGTCTTCATGAAGAGCTAGTCAATATCCCCTCTATCTCCGGGGATGAAGTTGAATGCGCGGAGTTTATATCGAAATATCTCTCGGACTTGGGGTACTACGTCGAAGAAATCCCTGCTGGAGACACTGGCACTTTCAACGTCTTCGCTTATCCCCAAGAGCTCAAAGATGAGGGAGTTTGGCCGGAAGTTCTGATCACTAGTCATATCGACACTGTAAGCATATTCGACCCGAGTCATGCTTCAAAAACAATGTCTGACACAAAATTAGGTACCGCCATTCTACCCATTCGAGCGCAAGGAAGAGAACGGCACAGTCTATCACTTCGGACGTGGCTCGGTCGACGCGAAAGGCCCCGTTGCAACAATGATAATCGCATCCCATAAGCTCTTCCAATCTAGGACCGATACGCCCAGCCTAGGAATGCTGTTCGTTGTCGCCGAAGAGACTGGCGGTGCCGGAATGAGAGCCTTCGCCGAGTACGCATCTAACACCACCTTCCGCGCAGGTATTTTCGGCGAACCAACAGAAGGCAAGCTAGCTAGTGGACACAAAGGATACCTGGGTGTGAGCTTGGATATCACAGGCCGTTCTTCTCACTCCGCATATCCCTGGCTCGGTGTGAGCGCGATCAATTATCTTGCCGAAGCCATTGTTGGACTGAACATGCTCGAACCGGCTCTGCCGAGAAGTGAGCTACTAGGCGCAACAACTCTCAACGCTGGACTTGTTGCGGGTGGAGTCGCTAGCAATGTCGTTCCCGACCATGCTAACGCAAGTATCGCCGTTCGTATAGCTCGCAGCGAAGACGACGCAGTTGACCTTGTGCAAGACATGATCGCTGGAATGCTCTCGCCGTTCGAGACGCGCGCAAAGGGGGAAAACGCTAGTTTCGAGGTCGTCTTCTCGAGCGCTAGGTACCCCGCGGTCATCCTCGACACTGACGTTGAGGGCCTGGAAGTCGCACCTGTCTTCTTTGGAACGGATATTCCCAGCTTGCCGCAAGTGGATAAGAAGTATCTGTTTGGTACAGGCACAATTGAGGTTGCGCATACGCCGGATGAGATGTTGAGTCAAGATGAGCTTGTGCAGGCGGCGGAGGCGTACGGCATGATTCTTGAGAGTCTGTTTTCTGAGTAGGAAAGTTCGAGCTCTAGTAAGCTCGACGAGTCTCAATGCTATGTGGCATTATGTAATGCAACCGTAATGCCTTATTCCACACATTCATGAGTGTATACCGAGTCGCCTGACGCCGAACTGCTTTGCAATGAAATGCTCGTGTGACAGACCATATCACCGTCATTTGCGTAGCAATGTGGAACTCAGGAAATCGTTGAGCTTGCTCACGGCGATTGTCATAGGCGCGACATGGAGGAAACTGCTTGCTTGAGCCATGCGCCCACCAGAAGCAACTGCGGAAATCTGTATATGAGGTCGCGCCGGAGACTCTCATAACACATCAGTTCACACCCTCCACTCCATCTCTTCCACATGGGCAGTTGAGATCAAGTCAGGGGCGCACGACCACCGCTCTTTCCTCCGATGTCTTTGCGCTCTTCCGCCGCTCCTCTTCCGCCAGTAATTGATGCCGTCATCGCTCCTTCTCTAAATGAAGGCTGTTTGCAGCGCTCTTTCACCGCGCCTCCGGACCTTTCATTGAGGCACTTTTGCTAAGTGAGAGACGAGAATGATCGCGCCATGATGCACCTGACGTTTGAAGCAAACGGTCTTGGGCTCCTGGCTTCGGATCTGGGCTGTCCATATAAACCGCTGATCTGGTTCCTCCTTGAGTCTTTTCTTAATCAATAATCCTTCGATAAATACAGTACACTTCGACCACTATATACCTCCTTCAGACATCGAACACCACTCTTCTACCATACCTTCGAGTCGACTACTATATACAACTCTCACACTCTCAACACAACTCCCACACTACTGCTTCAATCCGACATGTCGAGCCCGCCTCAGTACGGACCAACTGCCCTACCTCAAGGAGCAAACGATGGTGGTGACGGCTCTTCTCTGGACAAAGCGACATGGGTTGCTGGCAGCGACAAGAACGCCAGGAGCTTCATCATACTCCAAGGCAAAGACTATGTACGCTGCAACATGGGCGATGCCCTCCAGTTCTACGACTCGGGCTACCGTGTATTCGACCCGCCTACTGGTCGCCGAGTCAAGTTTCAGTACACGCAACCTGGTCGTCCCAAGTTCGGCGCTTTTGAGCACCAGTACTGGGAAATCCAGATGGAGGAACATGCTTCTCTGGTGAGGGGCGATCGCTTGCCTGGAGAGGATCTGGGTGAAGGCAAGTTTCATATCGATCGAGAGAAAAGGATATGAATACTGACATGTTATAGATGCTGAAGAGGAGTACGAGTTCGCAGGAGATTCTGTCTTCGACCGTGCTGAACAGCCCCCTTCGACCCCCTCGAGGAGTAAGTAGCAACCGCGTCACATCTCTCTTGAGATCGAGCTAACACATTCAAGGTACACGTGGAAACTTCGCTACATCTCCTCCCTCCGGCGGTCGCGGCAGTCCTTCAACTCCAAGAGGCCCCAGCTCTGGCGGTCAGCCAGGATCTGGTCGTGGCTCAGCTGGTCGTGGCTCAGCTGGTCGCGGCTCCAACACTCCTCGAGGTCGCGGCTCGGCTGGCTCCGGACGAGGTCAAGGATCTCCGCAGTCACCAACGTCACCCTCCTTCGGAAAGGGCAAGGGTCCAGCTGGCTCACCTGGTGGCGGCTCTCCCGGTGCTGGAGCGGCTTAAGATGGAGGATCTTCCTAACACATACCTTATGTTTGCTTTCTGGGGTCTTGGTCTGTGAAAGACGATTTATGTTCTGGATCGATTTAGCAAGGCGTTTAGGAAATTGGCGAATACCCCTAGACCTTTTGAGACAGACTTTGGAATTATACATTTGGTTTTCAATCTGAAGTCGAACCTGAAATGATGATGTTGGTGAGAAGAATGTGTACTCAGACTGCGTCCAACTCCGTGATAGCTTGTTGAAGTTCTGCATGCGTCATCTTCGTGATTACTTCGTCACCTGAAAACTACCTGAGGGTCTCCAGAAGTACGTATACACATGTACTGCGATGATATGAAAAGCAAGTTGCCGAATACGTGGCTGCGCTAATCAGTACCTGAGGGCCTACAGACGTCCTCATGCAGGGTACCGCGTCGATCTAAAAGCATGATGAGGTATACATGTTACTCAGATCTGACAGAATTACTGACAAAAAGGAAGCCTGTGGTCCCTCGATGTGTTGTACGTATGCGGCGGATCAGTCGCGATGAATGCGCTTAAAGGAGGCTGGAAGAACGAGGTCGGAATTGGCCGAGGAGCGTTCCGACGAAGGCGCAGGGCGTGTCTTGGAACCCGAGAACGCGTAAAACACGCCCAACAAATCATCGCTTATCTGATGCTGCATCTGACATATCCGTCAAGCTTCTGTAGGCCTGTCAAGATGGTGAAACCACGCAGATCAATCTTGGTCGGGATACACCTGCCAGCTCCCTCGTGCAGCGCGCCTGCCACGCGAGCAATGACGTGCGACGATCTCCGACGAGCGCGTGCGTGACCATCGCCAGGTCGCTAAACTTCGCAGTCTACATACATCATCACCTTCCGGCCATCGCGACGTTCGCTGTGCTCCATATTTATTTCGTACGGAGCGATCAGCCACAACTGCTCATGTCCTATGACGCGCCTGTGGCTGTTGTCCATTGGTCGTACCGGTCTCCGCTGGATCCGCTAAATGCTGCTCACGCCTCGCACCTACTCCCTCGCTCACATTGCCGACACGGGCCGCAAACGCCCTGAACCCTCGTACTTTGTGTGTGTCAAGTCGCGGAAGGAACGCGAAGCCGAGGAAAAGCGCGCGCTGAAGATGTTGCTGCTGCATCAAAAGGGGAGCGTCAAGGTGGGAGAGGTTGTGAGGTGAGTTCTCAGGGTCTGCCGGCGGGATGGCATGGACGCTGTACGCACTGTCTATACGAGATGGGCAGTGCGCGACAACGTTTAGGGAGATTGTAGGACGGATTACTAAGTCGCCATGCAGATACACGCTCACATACACCCCCTCCGAAGACCGCATATTACCGCCTCCTTCCTCCCTCCACGTTCGCATACGAAACTCTTCCGCCATCCCTCTACGCGCCGCATACCTCCACGGGCCATACACGATTCACGTATCCGCCTACCCTTCAACATTCAACCCGAACAAAAAGTCCGACGCAACATACGGCGAGCCTGACTTTGAGCCTAATGTCAAGGCCGGTGGATACTGGAACACCAAGTTGACTGTCCCAGAACAGTACAGGAGCGATATCAGGGAGGACGATGGCACCCCGAAGAGCCTCACATGGATCATCGAGATCGCGTCGCAAATCATTTTCTCCAATTCCGCGTCTGTGAACTACGAATTGTTGGTGGCACGCGACGAACGATCGCTAGACCTAGGCTTTACTGCTGTCACTGGCAATAGCCACGGAACTCCAGGAAAAGTACAAGATCACCAACAGGGTAGCCAGAAACATGTTTCGCACCATCCGGCACAGCCTAAGGGGGTGTATTCAAAGGCGGTCAAACTAGTGGTTGACGATACTACGAGCTTGTGGAATACACCGGAACTACCAGAGTGGAAAGAGGAGGACGAGGTCGCTTCAAGAAAGTCGAAAGATCACAATAGCCCAACGGAAAGCCACCAGAAGAAGAAGAACATACATCTTGTGATAGTAACGCATGGTCTACATAGCAATCTCGGCGCGGACATGCTATATCTGAAAGAGAGCATTGATGCGACGGCAAAGCAAGCGCGGGAAGATAGAAGACGGCGGCGAAGAGAGGAAAGAGGAGCCAAGAAGACCGGATCGGATCAAGACGCGTCGACAGCACCACTGTCAGGCGGCCAAGAGGATATACCAGATGACGAGGAGGATGACGATGAAGAAGATGTTATTGTTCGAGGTTTCGACGGCAACGTAATACGTACCGAACGTGGTATCCAGTATCTCGGGAAGCGGCTCGCTAAGTACGTGTTGAACTTGACCTACCCTGATCAACCATACCTGCCAATCAAGAAGTCTATGGGGCAGAAGTTGTCCAATACATTCTCGCCAACGAAAGACAAGCCAGACGAAGGCATACCGTCCCATCACGGTAGCAGTGTCATGCACACATCCCCAGGACATGACAAGCGCGCATACAAATTCACAAGCATCAGCTTCATCGGCCACTCTCTCGGAGGACTGGTACAGACGTACGCAATCGCATACATCCACAAGCACTCTCCCAATTTCTTCGACACAATCAAGCCCATCAACTTCATCGCTATGGCGTCTCCTTTCTTGGGATTGAGCAATGAGAACCCCACGTACGTGAAATTTGCGCTGGACTTTGGCCTAGTGGGGAGGACAGGCCAGGATCTCGGCCTTACTTGGAGAGCACCGACATTGGCAAAGAGCGGCTGGACGGCTATGGGCAACGTGTTTGGTAACCAGACGCATGATCAGCATCAGGAAGATCCCGGCGCAAAGCCTCTGCTGCGCATCCTGCCTACTGGCCCAGCGCACCAAGTCCTGCGAAGATTCCGAAACCGTACTTTGTACTCCAATGTTGTCAATGATGGTATAGTACCATTGCGCACGAGTTGTCTTCTGTTCTTGGACTGGAGAGGCTTGGGTCGGGTTGAGAAGGCTCGTAGAGAAAATGGTCTCATCGGCACGGTAGCGGTCTGGGGCTACGGCCAGATCACTGGGCAAAACTCTTCGCCCAACCCCTCTAGAATTGGATTCTCGGACGATGAGGGTTCTGGGGTCGAGTCGCCAACCTATAATGGCAACGATACTACCGTACCTCTACCAGGCGCCGACGTCACAAATCAGGAAGACGAAGTACAAGTATCTACTGCAGAGCCAACAGCCCATCAGGCCATCGAAGGAGGGAAGAAGAGTCCAGAAGCCAAGGAGCCGAACGACCAGTACTTTCAGCCGCAAAACACTTTGATGCAGTGGTGGAGCTACATCAGGCCGACTGGAAAGCACACTTCGCGCGACAAGAAGATGTTTAGTCGTAGTCAGACTATTGGGAAAGACGAAGAAGACGAGCTGTCTCCGGCTGAAGCAGATCACGCGACTTCGTCACATAGCTCACAGCCAAGGAAACGACCCCAAGCAACCCGTGGAGACTCCATTGTCGATAACCCCAAAAGCCACCTAGCACCACCCAAAACGACCATCTTCGAGTCTGCTGGTGACTTGATCAACCCTCCTGTTCCTCCTCAGTCCTGGATCACAGACCCGTCCACTCGAGCACGCACCATCTTCCACGACAGAATTTACCATCCTGAAGACATTCCACCGCCACCTACGAAGACGAAGCCAGTGCGCAACTTCTCTGGTGATAGTACTGCTTCAAAGGCATCGACAACAAGTGTCGACGAGAGTGTGATGCGCGTGGAAGAGAAGATTGCTCGCGCTTATCACAAGGACCTTTCTTGGCGCAAGGTTCTCGTCAGCCTTGAGCCCGACGCTCATAACAACATGATAGTGCGTCGTATGTTTGCTAATGCCTATGGTTGGCCTGTCGTCAAGCACCTTTGCGATACGCACTTCGCAGACACTTACTCGGCAAACACGCGAGATGAAGAGGAGCCCGCCCTGGATCGCGCACAAGCCGTGAACAAGCCAATCAACGAAGATGGCGAACACGTCAAAGGACAGGAGCGACTGCAGCCACCTATTGAGCGCACTGATAGCGAGATGAGAGAAGTCGCGGACGAACTAGCCCCGCTCAAGCCGCCCAGTCTAAGGATACCCAAGAGATCGAATACGACCGACTCGACCCGTAGTGTGGGTTCGGGCGATTGGGACAGTATTTACTTCGGGGAGACTAGTGACGAGGAGGATGAAGTGGATGACCGCAACGCTGTCCAGAAGTTCTTCCAGCCTAACATGCCCAGAAGCCCGCGAAGTCCTTCCGGAGGTCCACCCAAAACACCAGATGGCAAAGGCACGAGCGACGCAGACATCTCCGACTTCCTCCATGGATCCAGCACACTTGAGGTTCACCGAGGTCTTGGCGCAAGTCCCAGCAGCAAGTCATCGAAGTCAGCTACATTGACCCGCGAACCGGATTCAATGGAGTCGACTGGCGAACCGCCCAAAGCTCCTGAGGAAGCAAGACCAGTAACGCCTGCTGGAAGGATCAGCGGAATTGGGTTGAGGAGTTCCATCGATATTCCTGCGTCGCCAGAGGCCGGGCGAGCAAGAAGTGGGAGCACTGTCACTGAGCAGGTCGCGAGGCTCAGCAGCCCCAAGAGCGACAAACATACAACGGGCTCGTAGCATAGAGTTCGTCGGTGGTTCAGACAAGCGATGACAGGCCTTAGACGCAGGAGTCAGAAGTTGCGACGTCGAGACAACATCCGCGTTTCCAGCGTGTAGCACGGGTTCAGAAATTTTCCCTCGTTTATTCTTCGACTTCTTGTGAAGGTCAGTCAAGCGTTTTCGGTCTCGGGTGCAGTGGGTGTTACGTGACGTTGGGTTTGAGATCAGTGCACAGAGACGGATGCTACACGAGCGAAGTCATGGATTGTAGCACAATCGCGTACACAAAGATACCCCCAGATCTTATTACATGGTTTGTAGGAGCAAAGGTCTTCTTTTTCTCGTAGCGTCGTTTAACTCTATTTACTCTATAATTCTCTTCTTTGGGGTCGTTCTTTCCGTCGCCACATGCTCCTTCCCAAATCTGTGTCTCTTCAACAGGCGTCACCGCACGTAGTAAACATATCGGAAGCGACGGATTCTCTCATTTCCTTCTTCACTCGCTGGTCTCGAGTTTCTCCTCGCCTACGTCATCTTTATGCCGCGCCTTCCTCATTCACTGCCGCTATTGTGCGGCAACACGCTCCGTTTGTTGGTGGACAGAGCTCCAAGCTCGGTTTGTTGTGGTCGAGTCACCACTTGAGCGGATCACCACATTCCACAACCGCAACCCGATTGCGATTTCCCAATGCACCGATAGGTGTCGCGCTTCTTTTTTGGTCTGGGTCGCTGGTTTCGTTCTGGTCTGATTGCCTCGTCGCACTCGAATCGCGCACCTGCACCACCGCCAATCGGCACTACCCTACAGTACACGAAAATATATCTCTTTTGGGATAATGGTCGTACCTGATTCCGCCAACCCCGCGTGGAGCATGCGCCCTGCCGCCGTGATGGTTGGCGGCCAGAGACGCCGCAACACGCGCCGTTCCAACGCACCGCGCTCCAACACTACCCCCAATCTCGGTCTTGACTCATTCGCTGGGAGGGAGAATGCGAGTGGTGTCACCGCAGCACAGCATACGGATCAAGTTGAACACTCTCATGTTTCACCTCCTTCTGCGCCCTCGAATCCTATGGTCAACTCCTACGCACACGACAGTGGCCCTCCAGGCGACCGTCATCGCCCTCTCCCAGCGCGCCCATCCGATGGCTTTTCGAATATGCCGGCCGCCCATTCGCCTACACCCACAACAGGAAGCGCATCAACAGCAGCGACTGAGGGTAAGAAGAGGCATGGCAAATTCGGCCGCAAGGCAAAGGACCAAGACCGCCCGAGCAGCTCCCATGAGCCTACTCCCCAGCTGTCGCCTCTACCGCCGTTGACGCCTATCAAGGCTGCACTGTTGCTGGGCGTGGACCCTGGACCTAGCCCTGGTAGACCCCGGAGTACCTCTGTAGGCCGTCCAGCCCAGAACGATGGCGGCTACGATAGCCTACCGATACGCCCGATATCGACAAGGCGAGGCTCTATGTCGGCAATAACCACTCAGAAGAGCGCGTCGGACAGACAGACGAGATTCACGGAAGAGGGCCTTGACATGGAGCCATCAAAGCCCAAGGGCTTCTGGGGCAACACTAACCGGAAAGCTCAGCGAATGTTAGGCTTACTCCCATCTGCACCATCTCATGCTAGCCGTGAAGCCGACATGGGGCGCGTCGCAGCTGTTTCTCTAGCGTGGCGTCCAGAAGAACATACTGATACATACCGTAGTAGCGACGCCGAACGCCATGGCCAGTTCCGTTCGCTCCCACCAGTTCCGCCCGTTGTTCCCGAAGCTCCGAGAAGACGTATGCGCAAGAAGCTTCCTAAGGAGCTCGAGAGGATGGCACCCATTACAGAGACGTCGCACGATGAGCTTCGCACTTCCTACAAAATCAGCGAACATGATCCTGAGCTGAACGATATCTCTGAGTACGCAAAATCTCCTTCCAAGGCACCGCTATCTCGGTTGCATAATGAGTCACTGCTCACAACAGATGTCAGGTACGAGTTGGAAGAGGACGACCTCTCAATCACAGACGAAGTCATTGATGAGGCGGCTCAAGACGAACAAGAAGACTTCGCGGCCCATCCTGGTAACGAGGTTGACGTCAAGAATGGCGCAATTCTGCAATCTACGGTGTTCCGCCTCCGCGGCCCACTGCAAACGGTTGAAGACCGTTTGCTCGACGTAGCAGAGGCGCGACTAGCGACTAGCATGGCGGCGCAAGACCGAAACGATGCTGAAAGACTCACTCTCGACGACACATACGCTACCCTGAAGGCGTCTAACGAAGCCATGAAAGCGGATTTCGCAGCCGCACAGCGTTGTCACGCCGCTCCAGGAGAGTGTGAGCTCTGCGGTGGTGCGGATAGCCAGGTTGACAGCGACGACGAGGATGACTTGGACGAAGAGTTCACCTTACATGACGCCACGGCCGTACCCTTCATGCGGGTCACACCCGGTATGGTCAAGCTTGTCGATATTCCGCCTAGGAGGAAGAAACCAGCTGTACCTCTGGCACCGCCTGCACCACCCACACGAGTCGCACCGGTTGCCCCACCTAATCCACTGCCCCTGCTAGCCCTATCTAGTCAGCTCAAGGCCCCCTTCAAACCTACCTACTACTTTCAACATGACGAAAAGATCAGTCCATTCAACGAGCGCAGTGAGCATGTGGAGGTGTGTAAGTATCTCTCAACCACTACAGATGCAACTAACAGAGTCCAGCCTACCGTAATGCATGGCCCTCTTTCCGCTAGCGAGTTCAACCGCCTCGACAAGGACAAGAAAGTGAAGCTGCCGCGCGACGAGTCACGTCTTCTTGTCCAGGACTGGATGTCTGACTACGACCATACCAAACAACGCCCTCTTTCCGAACGTCTCGACCTCGATGTACTTGCCGACCAGCAAATCCCTCCTGCCCCATTTCCCAAAGAAGATCACGCTACACCTCCTCTTCCGCCCAGGTCATCATTCAAAGACCACTACTGTCTCAAGAACGGCCACATCTTCCACCCTATCAACCTCAAGACTGTACCCGACGAGGTCGCCATTAACAGCCTGGAAGTCCGACCGTATCTACACACCGCTGTTGGCTACAAACAGCATGTTTCTGTCCCTGTTTTCTGCGACCGTTGCAACGAAGATGTCAAAGAAGAGCTCTGGGAGTGCGACATTCATGTTTGCCGTATGGGAGTCTGCAAGCAGTGCGCAGAGGATATGGAGCATGAGTGGCAGGAACGTGTTGCTGATGCTTGGACTCATTAAGGGTCTTACATTCATGGTATTTGCGACGAGTCACGACGTGTATATTGAAAGATTGGATTGAAGGGGTGTGTAAAAGTAATGAGCAAAAAAGGAGCCGAGGAGCGGAGCAAACGATGTAAATACCCGACGATCACCGTAGATAAGGTATGATGGAGTACTGACTCTATGATCGATACGCCAACTTTTCCTTGCCCAAAAATCGTAGTTGGCCTAAGCCGTTCACTTTTGTACGCTTCCAACGCCGATCCCGCCCTCCAAACTTTTCGACTCGTACTAGAAAGAAGTCGGCCAGAAAAAAAGAAGAGTGTACCCGCTCACACACGAGTCGCCTTTGTCTCATCCAAAACTCTCATCTCGCCACTTTCCTCCTCCTTGATGAGAACCCCCCTGCCCGTATCCACCCATCCAACACCCTCATCTTTCTCCTTCTCTTTTCCCTTTATAGCCTCGCTCCTACCCACACCCCCACCTCCAGTTCCCACGACCACAGTCCCCGAAGTAGCGAAATACGCCCCCACAACCCCCAACTGCCCTGGACCCGCCTGCAACCCATGAATAAACTCATTCCTCAAATCCTCATGCTCATCGAACAGCCTATCCCACGCGTCCTTCAAACCCGTCGAGAAATGGCCTTGTCCGTGTGACACAGATAGCGAGCGTAAGATTATGGCGTTGGGGTTCTGCTGCGGGCCCGGCTGCGACCAGTACGATGTTAAGGCGTGGAGGAGGAGGGAGCGGAGGGGGGATGGCGTTAGAATCGTTGATATGGGAGAGGATGAGGGTGTGGTCTCCCGCCATACATGGTCAATGAGCGTGGGTGTGAGGGCGAAGTGACGACCGATTCCCGAATAGATGTGTTGGATGGTGTGGTTCATGAAGGACAAGGTGCCGAGGCGTTGGGCGAGAAGCCAGGCGTGGATTGAGGGGGGGATGGGCTGCGGAGAGGTTATGTTGTGTGGGATGGGAGGGGGTGGCATGTTTGTTGGAGTCCAGTTTCGGATATGGGCGGGTGGGCCGTTGAGCTGCAAGTGAGACGGTGTCTGAGTGGATAATGAATGGGGTGCTACGGTCGTCGCTGGAACGGAAACAGTCCTGTCTGCGCTGGCTGTCCTCGAGTAAGGATTGGCGCTGTTTGGCAAAGTCCTCGCGTCGACGTTGGATGGGTATGTGTCCTTGTAGATGAACTTGAGGAAGAGGCCGAAGATGGCGGGATCCACATCTGGCAATCTGATCACCTTCTCTTCATTCTTTGCGTCCTCTTTAGTGTCTTCCTCTTTGGCTGGCTCTCCATCCTCTTCTTTGATCACCACCACGTCATCGTTGGAAGTGGAGAGTTTGCGCTTCTTGCTATCCGTATGATCCTCCAACACCGCGGCGTTGATACGAGTGATTTGATCGCGAAAGAAGATAGAGTGAACGCAGAGTAGAGCGACAGGAAGGGTGTAGGTCCGAGATGGGTATTGACCAACGATGACTGTGATGGAGCTGCCCTGAATCCTTTCTCTGACATTAGAGGAGTCGCTTCAGACTGCGACATCACCTGCTTACATATCGAGGAACATGTCGGAGTAGATAACTTCTGTGGGGCTGTCATGGGTGGAGGTTGCGCTGGCTGTAGAGTCGCTGGGTGCTGTGTGGTGACGCCCATTTTGGACTTTCCAGTTGCGTTTGAGTGGAATATGCCGAAAGAATCGACTTTTGGGGTAAAAGTAAGTTGATAGAGGATGGAAGAAGCCCCTACCGCAATAGACAGTTTATATGACTTGTGAGAGGCTAGCCAACGAGCGTGGCGACAAAACGTGGCTGTGGGCAGTGAGAGACAACCTCACCTGGTGTCAGGTAAGACTGAGCTGTTGTTACGATATCGCGGCATGAGTGTGTTATAGAATTGGTACCCCAATTAGGCGTTGGTGCTGTTGTCTTTGGCGCCTCATGAGTCCATGGAGATGACCCTCGAGCTTTCTCTGCATATGGTTCGAAGTTCCCACATGACTTTACGACAACATGCACATCGTAGCTACAATCAACCGCATCGTGAACGCGTTATGGGGTATATTATGTCGTTATTTCATTCGTTATATAGTAAGCAGTTGCCTTTACGGTACACTACCTGGGTATCAACACTGACTGCGACAATCGCCCTGGCAGCCCGAGTTATTTCGGCTCTTGCTGCCCTCCGAGTACAACGTAGCATCATCCATGATGTCATCCAACTCCACATCAGCTTTCCCTGTCATGCGGAAGCTGGCCTTGGCCGGGCATGTCACGACGGAAGAGTGTTTGTCGCTATTCGCCATCGAGCCACTCTCCTCCATCTTTGTGAATCCGCCACGGTTGCTCGAGCTGTACGTCCTCTTGTTGTCCGTCCACCTTTCCACATCATGGCACCGTGTAGCGCCATCGCCGAAGAGGTTCTTGTGTTGTAGAAGATTGACAAGGCGGTTGAGGACAGAGAACTCAATCTTGAGCTTGATGCTGTAGATTGCCGTCTTGTATGTGGTTTGGATTTCGTAGTGGCCGGAGAATTGGACCGCGATAAGCGTAATGTCGAAGGCCAGGACTGCGACATTGACGATGATCAAGTGGATGAAAAGCTTTCGTAGAGATCCACGTCGTCGACCACAATCTCCACGGAGCATCTTTACTGTTCGGAAGATGTAGATAACCGATATGGCCATCTCTGCAGGCGTACAAAGTCAGTGTCTGTCTCACATGCGGCTCGGATGGAAACACTTACCCTGGACTGAAATAGCAACAATCTGGACCTTATCGTAGATCTCGAATCCCGGGAGAAACTTGAGGGAATCTTTGGAGTTCGCGCCCATGGCGAAGGTGAATAGAGGGACGCCGAGAGCGATCGTGGTGAAGATGATCATGTAGAGCACCCATCTGATCTTCCTGGCGTCCGCAACAACAAGATGCAGGCGAGAGTACAGTACAAGAGACTGTCCCGGGCACATGGTGACCCACCCTACGCCGATGATGGCGCTCGAAAGCAAGTCGAGCTTCGTGACTTGGAAGAACTTGAGGATGAACCCAATGGCGTGAGGGGCGATTCCTCCTGCGGCGATGAGCATACTCCAGAAGTACAACCCGCGGCGTTGTTTGAAGACGGCGAATATGAGGAAGAGGATCTCAACCATGTTGTACATTCCGATGGCGAGGAATGCAGACATGGTCATAAGGATAGGAATGCTGGCCTGTACGCCGCCAGTGACGCCGGACTCTGAGTCTTTGTCCGACATGGTAAAGGTAGTCAGGTGTCTTTCCGTCGACTTCGAAAGTAATGAGATGAATGAGGGTGAGGTAGAGAGCGCATTCGTTGAGATGGCGAACTGAACTGGAGAATCCGATATCCACGTGGAATCCTGGGGTATTTCAATCAAAGAGAGTGTTGGTGGCCTTGCTGATCGACGCAGATGCTGCAAGATGCTGATCAGCGAACATGTTGCAACTATAATTCAGTGTGGTTGCAGTGGTGGCAGACGGTTCATCATGAGAGGAACGCAAACAGCAGAAGGCGTTACGGACACTACCCCAGAGACTGACTCGATGCATGGGTGCCTGACGGGTTCGTGGCGTTTTTGGCACACTTGGCCATGTCATGAACCATACAGCTGAAGACGGGGTCAGAACGGGGGCGCGGATTTGAGAGCCCCAGTGCTAGTCCCTGGTGATAGTTGATTGGGCTCGGGGGACCTAGCGGCGCATGGCATGATCGTGGATTTCCACAACGGGGCGCGGGATCTGCTTCCCCATCATCGATAACATCGGATCAGCATGTTTAAGCGAAAAAGTAACCAGTCGGAACTGAATCCCCTCGTGCGTTTAAACTTACGTTGCTGCCCAGTTGGGTTGCACCTGTACCTGAGTGGTTTCTTCGCTTTCGCGTCAAATCGGCGACTCAGCCGAAGCGAAACTCTGTCGGTCGCCCCCATGATGGAAATAAACCCTGGGTAGATTGTCGCCCATCTCCGTGCCGTTCTGCGGTATTTCCAGAAGGGATCAACAGGTATAAGGCGTCCATGCGAAGAACTTCTGGTCGTTTCCTGCATATGCAACGCATGCGAAGGTTTTCCTACACACTCGTGTGCTGAATAGCGCACCACTCGTTCTCGTTCCTGCAATGACCTTGCCACAGCATTCGTCGAGAGCAGGAGGTCCGTGGACGGCTGAACACGCTGAGTCGGTCCCGTGCGCCTTAATATCGCCAACACCCTTGGCCCTGGTGTTGCGACATCTTGGGCTTGCGCCATCCTATATCCGCAATGGGAATCGCTGATAGCGATGGAATTTGGTTCACACAGCCCCTGCATGGACGCGAAACGCAGTATCGCGTCACCAAGACAATGCGGCTCTTTTTCGGCGCTTCTGCCTTTCAAGACGGACTATAATCGCTTCGCCCTTGTAGCCCGAACCTATCACTCGAAGTCAACTAAGCTACATGTGTAGGCCTTCCGTGATTAGTGATGGCTGTTTGACACTCTATACCCGGATAGTAAGGTACGATTGTGGGAATAAGAGATTAGTGAATGGATTCATGGACTATGCTACGTGGCTGCCCGAGTTAAACAACTTGAAGTCGCTCGGGTAGAGTCGTGAACCGCGTCATCGACGATGGTCGTAACTCTATAACCGAAAGCAACCCAAAATACCGCTGGAAAGCCTATCTAGTCCCAGTAACCAGGAACCAAAGGGTGGCAAAATACAGCACTCGTCATTGTATAGACAATGTCGCTAAAGGTGGCCGTTTAGACCTTGGGCTCAGCGTGGACATTCTCGACATGATCGTGGTCGTGCCCGTGACGTCCGACCTTGAGGTTACCGGCCTCAATGTCGCGGGTGACACGGTCGAGACGCGACTCAACCTTGCCAGCCTTCCAGGCAGGAAGACCAGAGTCGAAAACGTCGTCCATCTCTTCAAGGGTCTTGCCCTTAGTTTCTGGGGCAGTCAGGAACATGTGGATGAAGGCAACGGCGTTGAATGTTCCGAAGATCAT